TGATAACCATTAGATAAGGAAACCGAACTGGACCAGCTACAGGAAAACCTGGAACTCCCAAGAGAATGTGTTGGAAAGGACAGATACTACTGACTTAACTGAAGCCACTCTATTTATCAATGGGGCCAATTAAACAGAACCCTGACTTGTCCCACCCATGATGTTTTCCCCTCCCATTTCCCTCTTAGTGTCAGGAGACCTTGAGCTATTTGTCTTCCCTGTCCCCTTCTCAAGATCTTCCTTTCTGCAGTGTTCCTGTTCCAGATTTACCTCCTAATTTTCTTACTTCACTCAAATTGCCCTGGTCTCCAGGCATATGGATATGGGCATATGGCCTCAGGAATAATGAATGGGGATACTACTCAGGGGACAATTTCTTTTTAAAAACATGATTTCAAAGAAGGGATTTTAGACATCGTGTTATCACTGCCTGGATTTAAGGCCAGACAAACAGCACTATGATGTCACAGGTGTGCTGCACAAATAAATACGTACCCCTCAGGTGAGAGTCACCTTCCTTCCTCAGTCCATGATACCATGTAGGGTGTATGTCTTTAAGAAGTGTTCTCAGGGCTGGGCACAGTGGCTCTCACCTGTAATCCCAGCACTTTGGGAGGCCCAGGTGGATGGATCACCTGAGACCAGGAGTTTGACACCAGCCTGGCAAACATGGTGAAACGCCGTCTCTACTAAGAATACAAAAATTATCTGGGTGTGGTGGTGTGCACCTGTAATCCCAGCTACTCGGGAGGCCAAGGCAGGAGAATCACTTGAACCCAGGAGGTGGAGGGAGCAAGATTCCATTTCAAAAAAATAAAAAGTGTTATTAGCATGCAGTGGTATTGCGGAAACCAGATTAGATAACTGACTATTTTGGTTAATATAGTCAAGTAAGATAACCTGAGTGTTCTTGTCCTCAGTCCCATAGTGGGGGTAAGCTTTCAAGTAAAAAATATCCAATGCTCCCTCTCCAAAAGGTCTGAATACTCAGAAAGATATCAGGAAATTCAAATAGAAAATGAAAAGCAAACAACCTATTTTTTAATCCCTTAAATTTTCTATGTCTCAGCTAATGGAAACCTTAGCACCTTATGCATGAGGGCTGATGTTGGTATGTTCTTATCAGCACAAGAAAAAGGCCAATATATTCTAACAGGGAAGAGCTAGTTTTCCAGGCAGACTACACATTGTCTGAACATTGGGACAGAATTTAAATCAGCCATTCGATGAGCTCATCTTCCACCAAGATTAGATTGAAAACTTGGCCATTGGAGAAGAATATGAAAATGGTTGTTAACCATAAATTGCAAGCAGAGAGGAAATGACTAAACAAGTTGGCCAAGTGCAGTATTCAATCCACTCCAGATAATTTGGAAAGGGACAGTGGTGGGGGAGTTTCTCAGGGACCCTCTGGAATGACTGTACAAAGACAAACGGGGATGAGAGGAAGAAGAAGACCAATGCTTACACTATGCTGCATAGTCCGCCACACAGTCCTCTGGGAAGCAAGAGGAAAACAAATTTAAAGGAAAAAGAAAAAGAGATTATTCTATACATAATAGCACAGCACAGGCACAAAGTTTAGCTTTGTAGGTTGGCATTCCACCCACCCCCGTCCCAAATTCCCTCAGAATGACCAGTAGGATATTTGAGAAATCCACATCCACAGTACAGTGTTGAATACTTACTGGAGATTTACGGGTCTAAATCATCACCAACTTGTTAACTTCCAAACCTGGCTTTTATTTTTTCTTAACTTACTTTTATAAAACATATTTGTCTAAGATACACCATGCACAGTCCATTTTCACTCTAATGAATTAGCTGGAATAAAGTAACTGACACTCCCTGTCCAAGTGCGTCTGTGAGCTGTAGAACATGTTGTGCTCTAATTTTCTGAGCTGTACAACTAATTGCCTTTTACAGAGGCTAATTTGAAATACCTTTTGATGCTCAGATCTTAAAAATCGAGCTATTTTGTGCTGATTTATTTTTATACTTGACATTTCCAGTGAATTGGAACCGCCTTTTAAAAAATTATAGTTTCACATCAAATTATGTAAGAGAATTTGGAGAGTATACATTTAAGAATAAAGGAACATGCCCAGTCTCTTCCTGAGTGCAAACAATAATCTCTGGTCTGTTTGATTGAAAGTCATTAATAGTTAGCTGGGACAGAGGGGCTTCTAAGGGGAGTTTGTTGGTGACAAGAAAGCAACATGATGGTAGGATGACTCTGTTAACTGAATTACCGCAGCTGATAACATTAGTATCCTCAACAAATCATGGCTGTTGGCGGTAGGGACTGCGATAGTCTCAGATGAGTTGGCTTTCTGTCAGCAGCTGAATTTATAAAAACACATTCACTCATTCTTGGATAACAAAAACCACTTTAGGGTAGCATGTCTGAAAGCTTCTGACTACCTCAACTGCTTCTTATGCCTATATAACTTCAGAGGAGCAAATGGAAATGTTCCCTAGTGATACAAAAGAATTTATAAGTTCCTTATAAATATAATAAGATGTTAAATGATGGAACTGGTGCATTTTTTAAGAGAGAGTTTTGTTTTCAATTATTTTATATAAGGTTTAGCAGCAGTTTACTCAGTTTGGGGTTGTTAGTTTTATTTTTACAACAAACCCCATAATTACCAGTTCACATTAAAAAATAGCTTTAGAATAACTGACATAAGAACATTTACCAACAGATCCCAAAGTTATTACCACAGGTACTAATTTAAATGGCACTAAGAAGTAACTCTCCAAGTGCTTTATAGTTATTTTCATTTTGGCAAAACGGGTGGGGTGACTGGAGTAGTGTTTTGATATTGTCCTTTGAAGCATTTTTCTGCTGAAACACTTCAAGAAATGAAGGGAAATCTTTTCCAATTATCCTCCTTTTCTCAGACACATGCTTCTTATAAATATTCAGGAAACATCTTTTCTGGGAAAAATTGAAACAGGAGTAGGTAATATGAGCCTTGTTTATAAACAGCCTAAATAGGCTGTAATGGATGACAGACCCATCTGGATAGTTTCGCAGTGCATCCTTCTTGAAGATGAGCATGTTTGACTGTTGTACTGCGGTCTGCCAAGGATAACTGCCCCGACTTTCCACTGTTCAGAGCTATATTGGAACCCCCAAAGGAAGAAGGCCTCAGGGGAGCCAATGGCGCGAGACTCTGTTATTAGCTTTGGACCTAACTCGTGTCTCTCAAGAATAACCCTGGTATAGCTCCGTTTGATGTGGAAACAGCGCCTTGTTCTCAGGAGCTGAGCAAAGTGGGCTTATGGCTGACTGTGCATTACACGTCACTGATTCTTACCATTTGGGAAGGGATCAGAATTTAATTTAATAAAAAAAAAACCCCTGCAATTTTCACTTACAGAGCCTGAAGCCACACCTTTGAGGAAGTAAATGCTACATGCTGTCTGAGAATGTTGTAGAATAAAATTGGCTTATTGATTTAAATACTTAGGCACGGAGTCTGGTCCTTGGCTTTTACTTGTGATCGTACGTTTAACCATTACCAATCATTTTCAGAAAAAGGTTGATAAAATATATTTTTAAGGGGTGCAAAAGGTAGAATATTTTCATTCTGTTTGCTACTTGTCTATACTCTCAAGACCCTTATATCTAGAGCATTTTGAACATTACCAACAAAGTTCCTTTATAAAAGGTTCAAATCTCAATTTTCATGTCCATCAGATTTTAAACACCAGAGAAAATTCTCCAAGTGTTGAAGCTTTATTTAGTTTATGCTATGCTGCAAAAATATTGTCTTTAGAAACATATTTTTCTTGCTCTACTTCCCCTGTTTAAGGGTGTGTGTTTATTTCTCCTGGGGATGAGGGAAAACTGCTTCTCTGTTTCAAAGGGAAAAAATTAATTAGTTGCCATACATATCATTACATTGTTCAAATTCAGTGCAATTCTAACTAAGTGTGTAATGTACCCCAGTTCTTTTAAAACTTCTTATTTTATTTTATTGTGGTAAGGACACTCAACATGACATCTACCCTCTTAACAGAGTTTTTTTTAAGTGAACAATACACTATTGTTAGCTGCAGCCACAATGTTGTACCTTGGATCTTTAGAACTTATTCATCTCACATTGTACTCCTGTTCTTAAATTTGATTTTACAAAAATTCAGAAAAGACTGAATTGTCCCAATAACTAAATTAGAGCCAAAGAAAATGGGAAAAAAGGGAGCAAACCCATACTCACCATTTGTCCTCTGGTTAGAAAGATCTTGATATACAATGCAATTTGTAAAGTAAAATTTAAACAACATAAGCTAATGAAAACCATCCCTTTTTTTAAAGCACTTTGACTAGTTATTTGGTGGAATTTAATTGGTTGTTTAAAAGAAAAATGGTGACTATTTTTAAACTTTTCCTGAAACTGCAACAGAGAATAGATGTAAGCCGCTAGGCGTGTTGGCTCACGCCTGTAATCCCAGCACTTTGGGAGGCAGAGGCAGGTGGATTGCTTGAGATCAAGAGTTCGAGACCAGCCTGGACAACATGGCAAAACTATGCCTCTACAAAAAAATTAAAAGCTGGGCATGGTGGCGTATGCCTGTCATCTCAGCTACTCAGGAGGCTAAGGTTGGAGGACCACTTGAGCCCAGCAGGTCAAGTTTGCAGTGAGCCATGATCATGCCACTGCACTCCAGCCTGGGCAACAGAGTGAGGCCCTGTCTCAAGGGAAAAAAAAAGAATAGATATAAGCAAGGTAAAGTAGAAGGTTGCAGCAACTACAAATATCTACACTAGAGAGAAGGCTTTATTTGCTAACAAATGGCAATAAATTTATAACAAAATTTATTTTGATACTTCATGGATAGGCCTTTAGTTTGTAAGCACATTTGATTTTTATAGAGAGAAATGCTGAGAAGTACTTACTTTGAGGCCAAATTCAACAAATTTAATCTTATGAGTTCTACACTATAGAAGGATATTAACTAAAATCATAAAATAATTTATAACAGTGACTAATAAAAGTATTTTCATAACTGGCAGTCTTTGAGATCTGAGTTTATATGACACAGTCAGATGTGGTTCAAGTGCTTTATGACATTAAGGATTTTATCTGTTAATTTTACATCAAGATAATTGGCAAAGCAACATTAACAGCACTAACAATTGCAGGTATATAAAGTGTTTATAGTACTATAAATGGAAGAAATTGAATTAAAAATAATCAGGCAGTATTTCCTTAAAATTATGAGCTTTTATTTTTTATAGCAAAATGTGGCCTTTAAAACACATTTAAAAATTGTATTTACTATGTTTATGGTTGCATTTTCCGAGTATTATAAACTGCTTTGATGATGGATATCACTGAGTCCCCTGACACACATCTTAAAAAAACGGCTCAAAGAGTGACTAATTCTAAGGATTTCAACTTTTTAAAGACACATAAAAAAGAAAAAAAAAAAGATAGTAACATTGATTTGGGGTTTCTGGGCAAGGTCTTTCAAACAGAAAACTTTGCAAATAAGAAGTCATAATAAAATTGCATTATATCATAATTGAATAAATAACCATTTTCAGAAAAGAACTGAAGCAGATGAGTAAGAAATCTGCTATTGCAATTATATCTCTGGAAGAACTGGCAACTTAGTTTTCAAATTAATATTTCATGAGAAATAAGAAGTTGAAAATTTGGTCACTGCACACATGCGTTAATAGTTTCTTAATGGATTAATAGATTTCTTAAATAATCCAATACATGACCCAAAAGAAAGATCCCATTACTTTTCAATATTCAAATTAAGAACAGAAGCAGATATAAGAATGAGATGACTCTTATAACAAACTTTTTCAGAATCTCCTAGGAGTTTCAAAGAATGACCTTGGTAAAACAAAGCATCCGCCATGGTTATCAGTTTGAGAATACTCACCAGCCGGTCCAAGCTCGTGCCTGCAGCGGTTGTCGGTCTTTCCTCAGGATTGTAGGGCCTGAAACGTGTATTAAAATTTTCAGGAGCTGAGCGGGCAGATCTGAGAGCTGGAGCAGGTTTGGGCTGACCACATCCCTGAAAGACCTGGAAGAACCATTGAAAAGTAAAGAAAGTTATACAGTGAGTTTTCTCCTAAATTCACGAGGCAGAAATGTGCAATGCAATGGTGTCCACATTTCTCATGAAACTTTTACCTCCAATACACTCTAATTTTGAAATGTAAACAAGTATAACCACTAATATGACAGAAAGAATTACCCAGACAGAGAGTGACCAACTGTATTCCCTGACTCATAGTTTCAGCATACACAGTCAATCCTTATTATTGGTAGATCCATATTTGCAAATTTGCTTACACACTAAAATTTATTTGTCACCCCAAAGTTAATACTCACAGTACTCTCATGGACATAGAGACACAGTGCCAAAAAATTTGAGTCATGTTCCTAGTTGAGGTTGGAGAAGACACTCTCCTTATTTCAGCTCTCAGATTGGAAACAAGCGTTCTCTTTGTGGTCTACTTAGTACAATGTTTTTCACATTTCTGTGCTTTTTCTTGTTGATTTCAACGTTTAAAATGGTCCCGAAGCATCGGGCTGAAGTACTGTCAAGCGTTCCTAACCACAAGATGTGTAATGTGTCTCAGGGCAAAAATATGTATGTTAGATAAACTTCCTTCAAGTCTGAGTTATAGTGCAATGAGTTCAATGTTAATGAATCATCTATACATTAAATAAGGTGTCTTTTCACAGAAACACACATAACACAAGTTTACGTATTGATTGATTGATGAAACTGTTGTGGCCAGTGGCTTGCAGGAGCCTAACTCTGTATTTCTCATTGCCGCAACGGTTCAGTATTTGCTAAGTCAATGTTTGCAGTGACTTTATAGAACATAACTACAATAAAGAGAATCAACTGTACTAAAAAAAAGGATTGCAATAGTTACTCCACAGAATGACTTCAGGATTAAGTGAATTGTGTCTCACTTTTACATACTTGAATTTGGCATTCTATAAACATCCGTTTGGGATTCCTGTTATCATGACAAATATATTTCATTGTATAGAATATAAAGCCAAATAATTTCAGTGACTCCCCTTTGAGTTATGAAAATCTCCACAGGAAGAATTCTTTAAAAACACTCTCTTTAGCAGTGGTATAGAAACAGGACAAGCAAATGTGGATGAAATCCATGTAATGACAGCTTCCTCTAATTTTGTTGTTGACAGCTGTTCATGTCACAATTAAGATTGCTATGGGAAATCAAACATTTTATTGTAATGATCTTAGGGACTGAGCTGCCGGTTCTTTTCCACAGTGATTTCACTCAGGGTGGTGTGGAATTCATCTTCCTTTGCTGTTTTTAGAAGCTTTACATTCTGTGCTGGTTATCAAGAGATAATACCTTTACTAGAATTACAGGAAATGCAGTAACATTTTCAGGAAACTTTGATGAAGTTTAACTTTATTCTATTTCTTCCATTTCTCCATAGCAGATGATTCTTCTAGATACTTTTCCTTCAGTAAACTTTTTGGGGTTATTTACATGAGCTGATCTTAACTTGCATGTAGTATATTTGCAATGCATTCGTTCCAGTTTTGTTATTTCATTCTGCGTTGTTTAACTCTAAAATAAGCATTTTTCATCATGCATATTATGTGATTCCACTGAAGTACTCAGAGAGCTCTTGAGTGCCATTCACAATGACAAATTCTGTCTTGAGACACAATTCATTTTGTTTTACCACTACAGCTAATTTTTCTTTTGTTGTATTCAAAAGTTCTCCTTCAACTCAGCATTTTGCAGAGCGCCGGTACTTTGTCTTGGCATTCCTCGAGATTGGTCTTAACACACTATTGATTCTTCTTCTCTCACACAATTTCTGAAGCTGATGGTGTAAACCGGTGTGATAAAGATAGTGGGCCCTTTTCTCCCTAGTGCCTAAATCACTTCCCCCTGGCAAGGTCGCTGCTGATGGAGGGCATTAACATTTGCAAAGCTCCAGGGATCTGTTGAGTGTGCTATTCTGGATTGCTTTGGAAGTGACAGCTGACTTTTAAAAAATGTAAAGCCTAAGGCGAAACAATACTAATGGCCTGGCTGAGAAGCCAGGTACTGAAAGAGTTAACGGACCTTTTTAATTCACCCTTTGGGAAAAATCTGGCTCACTGGGTTAAGTTAAATCAAAGAAACACGAATGCCCTGAAAGAATATTAGTGTTCTAGGGAGATATTTCATCATAATGGAAAAACTTCACGTTTGCTCGACTTTTTTTTTTTTTTTTGGAGGGTGTTAATTATTACAGAACATAGGTTAGTTAATATAGCCTAGTAGTTTCTGTTATTTAGGTCAGGTTTGGATGTTGAAGATAGCTTCCATGCAGAAATCACGGGGTCTGTGACCAAAACTGTGGAAAACACTGACTTGTAATTACTTTGGAAACAACACCTGGCCACATAATCAGGTGGAGAACTACATGACAGTCTGTCCCAACAACCTCACATCTTGGAAGCCCTTAAACAGAGATCCTATCATACCCTTAGAAAAACAGAAGTGCCATAAAAGAAACCCTTTAGTGTGGAAGTGAGAGGCAGGACTGGCTGGATTTCCTCTGCTGACTAAGAATCCCTAAGCAGAGCTGGGAAGGTGACCGCAACCACCTTTAAACACTGGGCTTGCAACTTAGCTCACACCCAACCAATCAGGTAGTGAAGAGAGCTTAAAATGCTAATTAGGCAAAAACAGGAGGTAAAGAAATAGCCAATCATCTATCACCTGAATATAAATTCAGGCATTCCAGCTGGCAACAGGCTACCCTCTTTGGGTCCCCTCCCGTTGTATAGCAGCTCTGTTTTCACTCTATTAAATCTTGCAACTGCACACTCCTCTGGTACGTGTTTGTTATGGCTCCAGCTGAGCTTCCGCTCACCATCCACCACTGCTGTTTGCTGCCATTGCAGACCCGCCGCTGACTTCCATCCCTCGGGATCCTGCAGTGTGTCCGCTGTGCTCCTGATGCAGTGAGGTGCCCATTGCTGTTCCCGACCTGCTAAAGGCTTGCCATTGTTCCTGCACGGCAAAGTGCCCGGGTTCATCCTAACTGTGCTAAACACTAGTAGCTGGGTTCCACCGTTCTCTTCTGTGATCCACGGCTTCTAATAGAGCTATAACACTCACCACATGGCCCAAGATTCCATTCCTTGGAATCCGTGAGGCCAAGACCCCAAGTCAGCGAACGAGAGGCTTGCCGCCATCTTGGGAGCTCTGGGAACGAGGACCCCTGGTTACAGAAGTTCCCAGCCTAGGGATCAAGAGCTATTTTTCAGAATTTTACAAAACCTAATGAGAACGGTTTACAAAGGAGTACTTTGCAGTTGTTTTTGATTAGAAATGATAAAAAACCTTTGTATTAGTCTCATACTGAGAGTATATACCTTACACAACATATATCTATCATATAACTTAGATGACTTACAAAGTAACAATTAACAATTTGATGTTTAATACATGTGCTATAGTCTGAAAACCTGCGTCCTCCAAGAATTCGTAAGTTGAAAGCTAATCACAGATGTGGTGGAATTAGGAGGTAGGTCCTTTGGGAGGTGCTTAGGCTCTACCCTCAAGAATAGGATGAGTGCCCTTATTAAAAAACAACAACAACAAAGGATCCAGAGAGCGCACCCTTGTCTCCTGTGAGGACACAGTGCGAAGGTGCCATCATCTATAAAACACCATGCAGGTCCTCACCAGACATCAAATCTGCTGAAGTCTTAATCTTAGACTTCCCAGCCTCCAGACATGTGACAAATAAATTTCTGTTTTTTATAAGCCACCCAGTTCATGGCATTTTGTTATAGCAGCCTGAGCAGACTAAGACAGCAAGCCATCTGCTAGCCTGAAAAAAGTATTTTTAAAATATGAGGGTCATGGGGTAGGTGACAAAGGAAACTTTTAGGCAGAAAATTTGGACTGTCTCAATTTTCTGAGTTTAGCAGCAGTATAGTTAGGCACAGTGTTGCGGCTCATGAGGGCCATGGCTAGGTTAGTATCAAAGAGCAATGAACCTTTTCCTCAGTGGCTTGGGCATTCCAACATTTTACATTTTGAATAACGGAAAAAACAACTGAGAAATAATAAAGTGATGGAAAGGGCCGTAGGTTCAATGAGAGTCAGAAGATCAATTGGTTATGGCTAGAGATGGCAATTTGGATCATCAGCTTAAAGATGGTACTTAAAGCCATGAAACATTGCATTTACCAAGGACAAGTATATACAGGTGGGCAGATGGATGGGGCTGAGGACAGCCTATTGCCATGCCAATATTTACAGGGTCCTCTCTGAGCCTCAGTTTCCTCCTCTGTCAAATGGGAATAACAATATTATTTACCACACAGACACACTATGATGATAAAGTACAATATGTAAGGCAGAAAAACAGAACCATGTGTCAAGAAAAGTACATGCCTGATAATTAGTTAATTTTATCATGCCATAATCTGTATTTTCCAGAAGTTTGGCTTTCTACATAAAATTTGAAGAAAAAATGTCTGGGCTGATGTTTCTTTTTCTTTCTTTCTTTCTTTTTTTTTTTTAACCTTTAAAAATTTTTTTTTTTTTTTTTTTTAGAGACTGGGTCTCACTCTGTTGCCCAGACTGGAGAGCAATGGCACAAACACCACACACTGCAGCCTCAACCTCCTGGGCCCAGGCCATCCTCCTGCCTCAGCCTCCCGAGTAGCTGGGACCACAGGTGCATGCCAAGCACACCCTGCTAGTGGATGTCTCTTAAATGTTTTCCACAAAATATTATTTTCAGGGGCAAACGGTGGTTACATAAGTCATAGATTGCACCTATCAAAGTTAAATTAGGTACCCTCACAAGGGTTCCATCATGCTAACACGTGGTCAGACTCAATGAAAGAGAGGATGACATTGGTAGTGTTTCCCAAAACTATTTGACCATGGTTTCCTCATGGGGTTCTCATAAGACTGGTGTTCCAAAGAACTCACCCTGAGATATACAGTGAAGGTGGTTGTAACCTGCCAAGGAGAGACGTGATTCAGATAGAACTGCATTTAC